ATTGGATGCCCTTGGGTCCTGCCCCATCTCATTTCTAGGGAGAGTGTTTTACCATATTCCAGCCAGAAGGCTGTGTTACAGTGGATGGCACATGGACCACCCAACAGTACAACATGGACTCAATAGAAAATGCTGTGGCCAGCATTTAAAACTGGCTTATTGCAAAAGAAATAGATGGAATTAAAAAATAAGTGCATCATATACCAAACAAGCATTATTTTGTGAAACTGTGTCTCTATCATCTGTATATGCATATATATGCCTGTGTAATGTCATACAAATGTAATGCAAAATAAAACGCCTTCTTACTATAGGTCACCATCGGGATTTAAAAGCCACTGGGTTAATTCACTTTGAAAAAGCCCATGGAACTAAGAAATAAAAAAAAAGAAAGGTGGTGGAGCTAAGAGGCTTTGTGTGTTTGAATCTACTAGAGAAACTTGTTACTTACTTTCACTAGGTTTTGGTTTTAATTTGCTGGAGATACTATTTTATGGTAATAAGCCCCAAAAGGAGAAATCAGAGGCCAGAATCCAGTGCTTTCTAGCCAACAGAATACTCTGTATGATTTTATATAGTATAGTACTGGGTCAGTTAAGCCAGTAAGGTCATGGAAAGATTAATTAATTGGCACTACCCTATGGTCACCAGATTCTAGAGTAGAAACTAGATCCCCGGGAGAGTAAACAAGAATTTTGTAGTTAATGGTTGCCTATCTCTGGAAATTTCTCATTCCTTCTCAATCAATATAACAAAAGACACAGACTGGACACAATTACAACCACTCAATACATTTCTCCTCACAGGTTTAATCAGTTCTTCTAAGTTCACCAATGACAAATATCCTTTAAATTTTGATTCCTTATCTTTCTATAAACAGGAATATTAACCAGCACAGTAGGTGAAGGAGCTTAAAGTCCTCATGCCAATAAGACTCTTTCCCAATCTTTTCATCAAATCCCCTGTGATCTATAGTTTTCTTGCTGTTGTTTTTATTTTAGGGGAGGAGAGGAGTCTTTTATTTTTTTTTTTTTGAAGTAGGGCTACATCTCAGTTTTCTCTTTAATCATAATTTTTATCTCCGCACTTGATATAGGAGATTCAAGTTCAGGCCTAGAGAGATGAACTAAATTTTATAAGTAGGTTATCAGCAAGAAGGTGGGGAGACTGGAGAAGCACTCTACGTGTAATTTTGTGGGAGGCCTGTGACACACGCATGTTCCTCATCACACCTGCAATATCGATGGAACATTTTCTGAGGTACAACTGAGAAACCTGCATTCCTCCCAAATAGGTGATTAATTGGTTTGCGTTCAGTGGTTTATAACCCTGGATATGTGAGGTCTATTAAAAATAGAGTACCATGTTGTAGTTGGCTTCTAAAGGAAGAGAGAGAGAGATGGAGAGAAAGAGAAAGATAAGAAAGGAGGAAAGAGAAGGAAAAAGAAAGAAAGAAAAGGAAGGTAGGGAGGAAAGGAAGCAAGAAGGGAGGGAGAGAAAAGAAAGGAAAAGAAAGAAGAAGAAAGGAATAAAAGGAGAAAGAAAAAAGAAGGAAGGAATGCTTTTATTATACATTAGCAGATGCCTGGGCTCATCCTCCAGAGAGTCTGGCATTCTTGGTCTGGGGTGAGCACAGGCATCAGTACTTTTTTAAAACACTCCTAACATGATTTCAGTGTCTGCTCCAGTTGAGAACTCCTGGGTGACAGTGTGGGAAACCCAGCCGGTGAAAGCCAGCAGATCCTCTACCTGCACAGGCCTCCCCTGGCCTGCCCGGAGGACCTGGGGGGCCAGGTGGTCCAAAAGCACCCGTTCCTCCATAGGGGCCAGGAAACCCCGGGTCCCCTGGGGGGCCTGGAAAGATAATGACACACATGAGTAAACAAATGTATGTGTACATTTTAAAATTCAGATACAATTACTTTTTGCGAGGCTTGGTAAAGTGAAATCAGGAGACCCTGTGGAAGCTTCTCACCACAGGAAAAGCGGTGTTTTAAATGGAGTTTCTTAGATTTGAACTTCCCTGGCTGCCTCTCCTTTATAGACACTTGAACTTGGACTGGAGCTCTTTGTCACTGACTTAGGCCACTCTTTCCTTGGTGGTAGCATCTTGGTAGTTATTGGTCAAATTGTTTTATCTATTTTATAACAATTAAAAGTTCTACTTTCTGCAAGGTGACATAACACGCCCAGAACACACTTCACGTACTAAAATAAAATGTTGATGCCTCGTGCTGATAGAGGCAACTGAGCTTCTCATCTCTACTCGCACACGTGAGATTATACCCTCACACTGAAGTTCATGCATTTAGCCTGCCTCGTGTGCGGGCTGTGGAAACTCCAGGCCACATTCTGTCTGGGCCACTCAAATCCCTTTTCTTACATAATTTATCGAGGAACTGAAGGGAACACAAACCTTTCAGAGGAAGAGGAGTTACCAAAACACCGGGTGGTCCTGGGTACCCACGGTCTCCGCGATCCCCCTGAAATCATTCATTCACTTTTTGAGGAAACATTAATATTTGACTCATGTTTTCTGATACTAAACAAATATTAGAAGGACCATGTGCACATTTATATAAGGAGCAAAAACTATAGGAGAACTAGAGAAAGGAACAGTTCGTTCATGGAGTTCTGGGGGGATGAAGACACATCCAATCTCCTATCTACAAGTAGCAGAAAGGACCAGTCAGCTAAAACAAAATGGTCCACTGCCCACGAATTAGGCACCTCTGAAGTCACTAAGTTTCTTAGATACGCTACGGGAATTAGTGACCAGCTCTGTACTCTATGACAGTTTATTTACCTAACAAGATCTCACCCTACATTTTATTTTAGCAGGAAACATTGTTCCCCTTAGTTGTGTTCCCTTAATGCCATCATGGCTCCTCCCAAGCAAGTGCCACCCATGAGGTCACAAAGGGAAAAAATGCAGTGGTGTTAAAGGCAGACAGTTAGGAAAGACCCTTGCTGTCTGTTTTTAATCTCTATACTGTGTGAGCCCATGGAATATTTAAAACTTTCATTATTATTTCCCTGCCAAAGGATCATTTTGCAAATGTAAAACATAATTGTGTTTAATATGATATTATATTACATAATGATCATGCATAACAATGCACAACATGCATTAAGACAACACGAAGTCAGCCCCTCCGAGGGTGCCACATCTGCAGATTCGACCAACTGCAGTTGTAAAAAAAAAATTTTGTTTTTGAGACAGAGCCTCATTTTGTTGCCCTTGGTAGAGTGCCCTGGAGTCATATCTCACAGCAACTTCAGACTCTTGGGCTCAAGCGATTCTGTTGCCTCAGCCCCCCAAGTAGCTAGGACTACAGGTGTCCACCACAACACCTGGCTATTTACAGAGATGGGGTCTCGCTCTAGCTCAGGCTGATCTTGAACTCCTGAGCTCAAGCAATCCACCTACCTCGGCCTCCCAAGTACTAGCATTAGAGGCATGAGCCACCACACCCGGCCTTGCCCAGCCTCAGATGTAAAAGATTAAAAAATAATAATAATACAAATTTTAAAATGATATAGTGTGGCAAGTATTTAAACAGCATTTTACATTGTATTAGATATTATAAGTAATCCAGAGCTGATTTAAAGTACAAGGTAGGATGTACATGGGTGATATATAGATACTACTTCATTTTACATAAGAGGTGTGAGTTGCAGGTTAGTATGGGGGTTCTGAAACCAGTCTCCTATGGATACTGAGGGATGATTGTATACAAAGTTGACTCTGTCCCTTTAGAAAAATACCTTCTTCAATGATTTTTTGAAATACTTTACAAAGTAAATTAGATGACTCAGGTATGCAACACTTTATCAAGATATACTCACACAGGCTCATATTATTACCTTTGGCCCAAGAAATCCAAAAGGCCCAGGATCTCCAGTCAATCCCGGTTCTCCCTATAAACACAAACATTTTAAAAGGAAAATGTGATTGAGTGACGAGTCACCTCGTTCCCATTTCATGTGGACGCATGCTCAGTGAGACCCTGTGAAGCCCTAACACTGTTCTTAGGCTGCATCAGACAGTTTTGTACTTGAGTTTTGCAATCACAGCTAAATCCTGCAATCCATAAAATGAATGTGTCTGCCTTTCCAATTACTGCATCTGCACACAGCAATACTTCAGAATGACACAAAACTTGCCTTTACTCATGAAAATGTATTTATTGTCTCTACAATGGCATGCATTTACCTTTAATCCCGGAAAACCTGGAGATCCATAGGAACCAGGGTCACCCTGATAAAGTCACAAAAATCAGCACAGGCAGAATTAAACCAAAATGCACAAACCAGCTCAATACATCATGTTTCACCTATCAGATTGTTCCATGGATCTATTTAGTTTCGTTTGCAAAGGTGGCTGAACAAGAGAAAATAAATATAGATTCTATGTCTTTATAACATCTGCTACTTCATCTTTAGTCTTAATTCAAAACATGCATATGATTGCCAGTGTTTTAATTAAGAACGCATTGTTCTTGTCATGGCTCTTCCAATTTTCATTTATTTAACTTCATGCTTTCACTGGGCCAAATATCTTTGAAATCACAGCAATATAATTTGTATGGAAATTAATAGTTGCTCTGTACATCAATAGCAATAAAATGGACCGTGGAAGTCAATATTTCCCCGTGCACTAAGTCTAGAGCCAAATAAACTCAGTGCTTGCACTGGTGAGGGTGCGGCCTGTAAGATGATGCCATAAACGGCCAGCCCCTTAGTGGCCTGCTGGCAATGTTTGGCCTTGACCTTGCACTTTTTTCCTAGTTACTGTCCCGACATCAGCACATTATTTTTATGAATAGGCCTAAATTGACTATTCTAAGCCACTGTCATACTGGCATTGAGCCAGACAGGAGATGCCTCAGTCCTGTGACTTTTTCCCAATTCTTCTATCTTCCGCTGGCCTGTTTTAGCTAAACGATACCATCCGAAGGAATGCTCTGGGACATTCAGCCCTTATTCAGTTATTTGGATGGTTCTCCAAAATACATTAATCTTAAAAGTAAGATATTCTCTACTTCTAAGCTCATGGGAAAACTCATCTAGTCTTACAAACATGTGAAAAAGAAATGCCTCCAAATTCCCTGAACTTAAGGACAAAGCATCCTCACCCGAGGCCCTGGGAATCCAGGAATTCCTTTCTCTCCTTTCGCTCCAGTACCAGGTTCTCCCTTTAAGAGATGACAACACTTAGAGGCCTCCAAGCAACAGTATTTCAGCAACAGGGAAAGGAAAAATCAAACGAGAAAGAACAACTTTTGCCAGCATCTTAGGGAAAGCTACTTTAGAGCCCCTGTAGGACTGCACCAAAAGAGTGGAAAATTCAGGTAATATAGAGTAGAATATATATATATATATTAAACCAATGATGAAAATCATGTGAAATAACATTTTAAAACAAGATAGGACATCCCACAAATGAAGGGGAAAACAGACACTTAAATAAACTACCTTGGATCCTGGTGGTCCCGGCGGTCCACTCACTCCCGGACTTCCTTTTATACCCTAAAAATCACAATGAATATAAGCTAGTTTATTCTTATTATTTAACATATGGAATTCTATCTCTTTTAGAAATTCTTTATTTTGACCATCTGTTTCACTCATTTTTAAATTAAAGGATTACTCTTTAACCGTCTTAATCAGCAAATAAGATGGAAGCACAGAACAGCCAGACACTATTCTGCCTGGGGGCTCTCTGCAGGAGCGGCTCCTGGGGCACAGGTGTGGGCCACCAGGCCAGCAGGCCAGCAGGTGCAAACTGAGAATGCAGTTATTGAAAAGGTGGCTCATTTTGAGCAAAGTAGAGAAATTTAACCCAGTAATTAAAAAGCAACAAAAGAATCTGCATAGGACATCAGTAGTAGCAGCAGAGGCTGGCAGAAGAATTAATATTTGCCAAGAGTCTATTACCCAACTCAAAAGCTTTTGTTAGCTGTTCAGTGATCAGGACATCAAACCTATTTTTACCATCTAAGGACAACTGGGCTTCCGGTGGACTTTTCAGCCCATAGAGCAAAACATCAACAGGACATTATCTTATAGAGGACATGTCACAATGTAGCAGCATGAGCTGGGTCTGCCACGCAGCCGTTGGGTAACCAGGAGAACACCAATAAATGTCCAGGCCACGTTTTTCAACTCTGTGCCGTGAGGGTAATCACCGTACTAACCTGTTAAGATGGATTCGCTATAAGGCCTCAGCCTGTTGCCACCACAGATGCCTGTTCAGAAAATGGTTTATTTCTCTTGCTACTTTACCAAGGTAACATATGAATTTGGGAATTACCTTTTCTCCTTTATAGAGACAAAAATCAGGTGGCTCTAACAACAGCGTAGGTCCAGGAAAACCTTGCTGGCCAATTTCACCCTTTTAAAATAAGCAAAGTAATAGGAATTTCATATCAATTTACACTTTGAAATTTCTTACCCATGTATTGTGTCATAATGTTTCCAATCCTGTGTGTCATGGATTTAAAATCTAAGTCACAGGAAGTACTTCATGTAATTTAAAATGATGCTTGCTTCTGTTCTTAAAATGTAATACATACTTATAGTTAAAAATAAATTTGAAGAAAAAAATGATCCTTAAACCTACCATCCAGAGATAATCTCTATTAAAATTTTGGTATAGAGCAGCGCCTGTGGCTCAGTGAGTAGGGCGCCAGCCCCATATACCCAGGGTGGTGGGTTCAAACCCAGCCCTGGCCAAATTGCAAGAAAAAAAATAGCTGGGCATTGTGGCGGGTGCCTATAGTCCCAGCTACTCAGGAGGCTGAGGCAAGAGAATCACCTAAGCCCAGGAGTTGGAGGTTGCTGTGAGCTGTGATGACTCCATAGCACTCTATCAAGGGCAACAAAGTGAGACTCTGTCTCTAAAAAAACCCCAAAATTTTGGTATAGGGCGGCGCCTGTGGCTCAAAGGAATAGGGTGCAGGCCCTATATGCCAGAAGTGGTGGGTTCAAACCCAGCCTCATCCAAAAACTGCAAAAAAAAAAAACTTTGGTATAGTTTTCGGTGGTATGTGTGTACATATGAGTACATGTATGTATCTGTATGTATATATGTGTATATACATCATATTCATATAGTATATTGAAAATATACTATAATGAGAATACTATATAATAAATGCATAAAAATAATTTAAACTACATGGCATATTTTATTAAAATTTCAAACTTTATATATTTTCCTTGTATAAAAATACTTTGTATTTTCCTATTATAATAAAAATTCTCTAAAATCTTTATTTTTAATACTGACACAATATTCCATCATAAGGGTTTTCCCAGCTGCAAGGAGGAGCGTGGTTACCTTATGATCACAGGCAATGTGTTTACTCCTGTTGTCAACGTGCTTGTTCAATGGTCTGTTCGTGCAACAGACATCTTTAGAGCAGCTGCTGCCTGCACACTGTTAAATGCAGCAGCTATGATTTACTAAGCTTTTCCACTCCGGTTAGATTTGAATTATTTCCATTTACTAGCCAAAAAATTTAGGTTATTTCTCATTTATTTTGTAATTTATTTAAAACTCCCTGCAAAAAATAATTAGCCAAAAGTTATGTATGTCATCATAGATATTATTTTCCTGGAGAAAAGAATGTTCCTTGAACGTATTTGCCACAATACAACCAGAAATTCTCACCTTTAATTAGAAGATAATTATTTTATACTTTTCTGAATATTACTATTGTTCTACATTTAAAATTACCTTTCCTCTTAGTCATAGTTAAGAACAGGTGGCAAGCAGGTCACCCGTGTGTGTAAACCAGGCCCTCATTGTCACTTTAGACAAGTTCCTTAAAATTCCCCTCAGCCATAGTTGCCTTAGCTGGTCTATACTTCACTTTTCTTCTTTGTGAAATGGAGATTGTCATACTGCTTACCTCAAAATGTTATTTTATTGCATAAAATAAAGTTATTTTATTGACTAGCTAATGCTATCAGGTGCTGCTTCTTACATTAAGCAAAACAAAGCAAATTCTCAAATATTGAATTATTAAAACCACTAAAGTTTTTGATAGGTGGGATTTTTGGAAGACAAATACTGTTTTGAGTTTAAATGGAAAAATAAAACCAAGAATTCAATTTCTACCTAAACCTCCAGCCAGGTTTTCCCTTGGTATTGCACACTTTTCCCTTGGTATGTCCCACTATTTAAAAGTGTTCAGGCAGCAGCTGCTCTAAAGATGTCTGTTGCACGACGAACAGACCATTGAACGAGCATGTTAACAACAGGAGTTAACAACAGGAGTAAACGCATCACATGTGCTGTTAAGGTAATCACGCTTCTCCTTGCAGCTGAGATAACCCTGAACAAAACGTATAAAGGCTGACAAACAGGAGGCTTCTTCAAAATACTGGTCATATGATCTAATACACAGCCACATAGGACAGCGGTTCTCAACCTGTGGGTCGCAACCCACAGGAACTGTATTAAAGGGTCACAGCATTAGGAAGGTTGAGAACCACTGATATAAGAGAAAAACTCAACTCAGTTCCAGTTGGGGGGGAAGAAAGAGGGGAGATGGGAGGAGGGGCAGAACTTGGGGTGCTCCCACTTAATGGGCACAATATGGCACACCTTTTGGGTGCAGGACACAACTACAAGAGGGACTCTATCTAACGCAAATACTGTAACCTAGTTGCTTGCACCCTCATATTACCTGAAATCTTTTTAAAAGTGAAAAAAAAATTAAAAAAGAAAATAATGGTAATATTCCTATTTTTTAGATATTGTAAAAGTACCTTGTAGTCAGTACCATCAAAAGTACAAAGAAGGAAAACTATAAAGAATAAAATGTAAAAGGTCCATCATCACCCCACATAGGAATAATAAGTCACAACTATTTGGAACAATGTTTCTTCAGTGGGGTAACCGGCAAACATGTTCTAAAATATTTGAGAGTTCTGCATGGAAATTTCAAAATTATTTTCTAATTCACCAATCTATAAGAATTAACAGAAACACATTTGGATCATTTGAATGGCAACCTCATAGCCAAATACTCACAGGCATCCGCTCAATATCAATTTGTTCACAGTTGTAGAAAGAGCCACTCACCCACAATCAGACATTCATACTGTTTCCATGTGAGCTACCACCTCAATCACTTTTCTAAAACTTATCGTTACTAAGTTTAATATTTTGGGAGAGAAGGCTATGGGTGGTCGTAGGTGGGGAGGAGCTGGGAGGTTGTGCTAAATGCCCCTGGCTCCAGTTACCTGTATTTGCATTTCATATTGACATGTGGAGTTGAGGATTCTGGTGAAATTTGTGAAATGAGGTGAAACCAATCAGTAATTTAACAAAACTGTTACTCTGAATGTAATGTATTATTAAAAATGAAGAGTGTCTGTTTGATGGGGTGAAATGCATTATAAAAATTAACTTGAGTTTAGTGTTAAATTTTGTCAGAACTGTCATTTTACAGTCAAGGGTAATGGTGCCATAATAATTCAGCAAAGAAAAGTTCTAGAAATTAAACTGGACAGGAGCTATATAATGAACACGAGTTCAATGACCACCAGAACAGCCCCCACCACCAGGTGGCGCCCACTTCACCACTTCTTCCAATTAAAAGGGGATTCTTACCGGGTCTCCCATCTGCCCTTTTACGCCCACACCAGGATTACCCTGAGAAAGAAAAGAAAACGAATCTAATTGCTTTTGAATTAAAAATAAAAGTAAATAAAAGCAGTTAAGACTTCTGATTATGAAATTTACTGAAGTTTACTTAACACTTTGGGAAGTCTGATGAAAAGAAAAGCATAATTCCAACGACCACTGCTGGTCAGTTATTTCACTGTGTGTGTCTCTGTTTGTGTGTCTTACTCACGGCCACCTACCTTCAAACCTGGACTCCCAGGATGGCCTGGAGGTCCCTAAATCAATGACAAAAAAAGACACAAACCAACCATCAGGCTTAGAAATCAGAATGTGCTTTCTTTGGTTGCCCCAGATCCTACTTAGAAAACTCTTAACTTTAAAACATGCATGATGGACTTTCAGTTACACAGAGGGGGCATTGTCATGAGTGCAGATGATGCCAATGGCTTATCCCCAGGAACAGCGCTCCACAGTGTCGCCCGATAATGGTTGATCAGACGACAGTCTCTCAAAGAGCCCGCCTGTGTCCAACCCAAGATGGCAACTTTACTTTTTGACTTTATTTTAACATGGACTCTGGGTTTTTAAAGGAACCATATCAACAGTGCTGTACTTACCGCTAACCCAGGTCCGCCAGGATATCCTGTGGGGCCCTCTGGTCCTCTTGTACCCCAAGATCCCTAAACATGAAAAGAACCAGTGCATTCATTACCCCAAATCATGATCATCTTTCACAGGAAAAACTGCAGATTACATCTGTGTAATCCCAGATGGACAAATCCCGCTAAGGAAACCATAGTCCCTGACATGTCTGCCCGGTCAGGTCATCTGCCCTGTTGGCCCAGCTCTGATGTGGCCCTTAGTAGCTGGAAGATTAGCACTCTGGTAGGTGTGACAGACTCCTTCACTTAGGACTCAGCTAAGACCTAGAAGACCTGCCTGTTTATAAATAAACCTTGTCATAGCAAAAGCAGAGAACAAAAATACTGGTTCTTAACTACTCCTGAGTTCCACATATGTTACAATTTTTATATACTTCAGAAGGCTTTAGAAATATTAATATGAATTAACATTAACCTATGTCACTTACTTGTACTTCTTTATATATTTTTGGAATTCAGTTTACAAGATTAATGTGAATAGAAATGTTGTCCTCAGGCAGCGCCTGTGGCTCAGTGAGTAGGGCGCCGGCCCTGTATACCAAGGGTGGCCGGTTCAAACTTGGCCCCAGCCAAAATGCAACAAAAAAGTAGCTGGGAATTTGTGGCGGACACCTGTAGTCCCAGCTATTCAAGAGGCTGAGGCAAGAGAATCACCTAAGCCCAGGAGTTGGAGGTTGCTGTGAGCTGTGATGCCACAGCACTCTACCAAAGGCAATAAAGTGAGATTCTATTTCTACAAAAAATATAAAAAAAGAAAAAGAAATGTCGTCCTCACTTCTAGATCAAGACAAGTCAGCCACAAACAATTTTCTGCAACGCCTGAGTTGTGGCAAGAAAAGGCTGTAGTCAGGCAATCCTGGAAGTGTGGAGAGAGGCCGTCTGAGCGCCTGACTCTGCCCACACCGCATGATCTGTGAGCAGGTAATGAAGTCGCTCTCTTTAGGAGGATGAACTGGTATTTAGTTTAACAAACACTGAGGTTCACTTTTTTTTTTTTTTTTAACATAGAACCAGCTTCAGTAGTAGTAAAGAAACCAACTTGGAAAAATAATTCTGTCCCTAGCCCAGAAGTGACAAAACAAAATTACAGGTTAGCCATTAGGAGGCAAAATTGCTTTCAGTTTTAATCTTATAAACATTGATAAATTGGAAAGGCCAATACAATTGTTGATTTACAACTTTCAGGGAGATAAAGATGGAAAGGAGCAAAACGCTAACTACAACACAGAAGTACTGATGTGGCGGCAGAGAGCTGACGCGGAATCACTCCACTCGGCACACATGGATACTTATGGAGCAGCTAAGTGGACTTAGTTTCCTAAATAGTAAGTGTTTGCATACATGGGCAGAATCATTACAGGATGGAGGAGCATAAGAGGATGCTCACCGAGCTTCAAGGGCAGCTTCCTGGGCAGGACCCGCCACCAGCTTGAAATTCTTAATAATTTTTGAGCAAGGGACGTACACCGTCATTTGCACCAGGTGGTCCCCACAAATTATGTAGCTGGCCCTGCTGCAAGTCAAAGCTCCTGTGGGGAGTAGCCTACTGGAGGAGGAAGCAGACACAGAGACTTACTGGTAAGCCAGGTGCTCCCGGGTGCCCTCTGTCTCCCTGCAATAAGAAGGAACACTGCTTTGTAAGAGCACACAATGCTCCCTAAACACAGATTATGCGAAAGTAAATACACACACACACACACACTCACACACGGGAATTATTTAGACGGGCCCACCTGTGCAGTTTGTTCAGTTTGGGGGTGGGAGGGAGACACTGGAGGAAGGGGCATGTGGAGGTGACTTTCTTTCCCCATTCTCGACTCTGAATTCTCTTTCTCCTCAGCAGAGAAAGATTGCCGGGGTCATGACAACATGGAATCAGGATGAGAATTTATCTTTCAGCTCAAATTGTTCTAAATTCTCAATCCAGTGGTCCTAAATCCTCCCGGTTTGCCAGTCTCTGGTCTAGCCACCGTGCCTTGTTTTGTAAACACTTGGCCCCTTTGGACCACCCTGGAGTGGACAGAAAGGAAAGCCAGGCGGGAATCCTCTCACACCGGCCTCTGCCTGCGTCTCCTGCCTCCTACTCTGGGCTGAGACTCAGCCTTCTCTAAGGCACTAAGGGGTGTATATTCTCCTGAAAATAGGTTCTTTTCAAAAATGTAAAATATACCTAAGTTAAAACATCACATTTTAGCCATTCTTACATGTACAGATCGGTGGCATTAAGTGCCCTCAAACAGTTATTCACCCAAGACCACCTTCAATCTCCAAAATATTGTCATCTTCCCCAAGGAGAACACTAACTCATCATCGCCCTTCCCCCAGCCCCTGGCGACCACCATTCTACTTTCTGTCTCTATGAATCTGATTATTTTAGGAATCTCATATAGGCAGAATCACATGACATTTGTCCTTTTGCGACTGGTTTATTTCGCTTAGCATAATATCTTCAAGGTTCATCCAAGTTGCTACATGTGTTGGAATTTCCTTATTTTTCAAGTCTGCATAATATTCCACTGTGTGGCTACACCACACATCATCTATTCCTCTGTGGATGGACACTTGGGTTACTTTCTCTTTCTGGCTACGATGAATAAAGCTGCTATGAACGTGGGCATAAAAATATCTATTTGACGGTGGCACCGGTGGCTGAAGGAGTAGGGTGCCAGCCCCATATGCCGAGGATGGAGGATTCAAACCCAGCCTCGGACACACACACAGAGAAATATATATCTATTTGAGTCTTTGCCTTCTATTCTTTTATGTCTATATCCAGAAGTGGAATTGCTGGTTCACATGATAATTCTATGCTTCAGTTTTTGAGTAGTTGCCAAATTATTTTCCACAGTAACTGCAAAGTCCCAGCAGCAACACCTGGAGTCCCAACGCTCTGAGTGGTTACCAGCAACTGTTAGTTTGGTTGGTTTGCTTGCTTTTTTATAAGGGCCATCTGAATGGGTGTAAGTGGATGTAGGTTCTCAGGAGCATTGTCTCCCAAATCTGATCTGCAGACCAGGTTCACGAGGCCTCTGAGATGGGCCGTCTCCATACCCAGCTGCTCTGCTGCCTCACCTGCTCTCTATCACGACAGGCACAAAACCACTCGCCGCAACTAACGGAACGTGGCATGATACGGTTTACCACGCGCTGCAGTTTAAATTACTATAGCAGGCAATCTTCACAACACTAAGAGGAAGCCAGGGTAGATACTATTTTATTTTTCTTTCATAAGTTTCTGAGCCTTTCACAAGGCTCAGAGACCTCAGGGGTTTGCTTAAAGTCACAGTGGTGTCAGTTCACTCCTTTCAACTCGCCATAGTGGGTCCTAAAATGACCCCGGTGCTAATGTTCAGTTGACTATCAGTTAAGCCATAAACAGAACCATAGTTGTTGTTGTTGAACAAGTAAATATAGGCACAGAGGCTACAAACACTAAGGAGATTTCCACCGAGGTGACTCCGAAAATCAGTGCATTCAGGGACGCTTCCAAGGAAACCCCCATCTGTGTGTTTCCTGCCTTGTTTTACTCACTTGAAAAAAAAAAAGAAAGAAGAATTTTTAAACCTACCACGATCACAATTCTTACCTGAATGCCTTTAATGGCACCTAAAATGAACACTGAATTTCCTTTTTCTCCTTTCTCCCCAGGAAGGCCCTGAAAATAAAATATTTACATAAGAGAAAAATAACATATGACCATTTCAGGATTTATTTTTCTTCTTGAAATATGACTCATCAGTAAAATGGCCAGTGTAGTCATATTTAACCAGCAGAGATTCCTTTATCTTCTCCATTATTATTATCACCCCAAGGTCCTCAGATCTATGTACTTGATATTCAGTTAAGATCTCTTAAGGAATCTCCTAAGACAGAGCATCACTAATATACAGTTATTTACTAACTTTCAGCAGGAAATTGTATTTTTCCTTATAATAGAAAGCACACACATTGTTCTTACAAATAATGAACTTTTCAATTGTTAATTTATGCTCTAAAAATAGTCTAAAATTTTTTTATCCGTTTCAGTATTTGTATTCAAAATAGAGTCTAAGTGAGTCTAACTTTGTAAGTCTAACTTAAGAAATAGAACGCGTTTCTTTTAGAAGGTTATTGTGTGTAGCTGCTAGTCTGTTTAGAGTATTTTTAAAAAGTGAATGAAATACTTCAGTGTATTCTTTTCTCCCCCAAGCTTTTCCTACTTAACTTTTTTTTCTTTTCTTTTCTTTTTTTTTTTTTTTTTGAGACAGAGTCCCACTATATGGCCCTCCGTAGAGTGCTGCAGTGGGTGTCACAGCTCACAGCAACCTCAAACTCTTTTGGGCTTAAGTGATTCTCTTGCCTCAGCCTCCCACGTAGCTGGGACTATAGGTCAGCTATTTTTTTGTCACCACAACGCCCAGCTATTTTTTTGTCATTGATGTTTAGCTGACCTGGGCGCCAAACCTGCCAACCTCGAGGTACACATGGTCGGCTCTGTAACCACTGTTGCTACTGGCGCTGCCCCTACTGAACATCTTAATATCCTGCTTAATATCTTACTACGTCCGAACTTGGTTACGACATAAAAATCTACCATCTTCACATACCAAGCGCCTATGAAAGATAATTTCAAAGTTAATCTCTCTTATTGCAGTGCCTGAGTTCACTTAATGATTTTATTGCAAGTTACACTGGTAATTTACTTGAGAAATCGGATTTGCCTATATGGGCAGTTCTAGCTTTGCACAGATCCAATCTGTATGAATTTTGGTTCCACAGTTGAGTAAAATAACACTCATCCTCCAACGTGGTTCAAATCTCAGTCACATATATATGAACTGAGTAAGTGCATGAAGTATCAAGGTCACTGCCAGCTTTTCAGTTCCCCACTCACGACCTAATCCCAGGTGTGAATCGTGATCGCTGCACACACACAGTAAAGCCTGGGGCGTGTTGCTGTCTTCTTCCCCAGTGATAAACCCAAATGCATTTTATGGAAAAAATGAATTCTTGAAAGAGGAAATTGGCCCAAGCAAAACAAAAATGTAGCCAAAAAATGAAAAATGGTAATGCTGGAAGTGAAATTCAAATAGAATATCAATGAAGTTATAGGAGAAGCAGACGACCACTGAGTAGTGATGCTGGTGTCACTTGAAAGAGTCTGGGTACACAGCCAGGAGAACTTGGTAAAGATGAGCTTATCAACAAAACAGGAAAGCAGCTGTGATGAAAGGGTGACAGCCTCCCAGAGGGAGTCCCTTTGCCCTTCCATCCATTCTCTGTGCAGCAGCCAGAGACATCTCAATGACGGAGCGATCCAATCATGCTATTTCCTTCCTTAAAACCATCCAGGGCCTTCATGTGACATGGCAGAGAATCGCCAGCCTCTTTCCACAATGCACAAGACCCCTCAGGTCTTAGATCCTGCTCTGACTGCACCTGTATTAACTGTTTCTTGAGTACAACCCCCTGTGCCCACGGCAGGGCCTTTCCTCTTGTGATTCCTATTAGGTTAAGCTGTCCCTAGCGTCTTACTAGGGAGCCGCCTGGGCCAGGAGCCCCTCTTCCTCCAGGAAACCCGGGGTCACCTCTTGAGCCGTTGTAGCCATCCACACCAGGCTTGCCTCTGGGCCCAGGAGGCCCTGGGTGGCCCTGCAGAAAACAAAATTGTAAGTGAAGAAGTTTTGCAAAAATGTCACAACACGAAGGTTTTGCAATGTGAAAACGCAAATGATGGCAACTGTAAGTCACAGCTAAATTCTTTAATTTTGTGAAACTTTCTTTTCCACTCAACAGTGCTACATGCCATAGTAAAAATAAATTTTTTTAATATATCCCAATTTAAATTAATTGAGTTTGGAGTATTCAAGGAGATTTGGGAAGAAACCTTTCTCAAAATCTTTAGAAAGACTCTAATGTCTTATAAAACTTGCAAATTTCCTCTTCCTTCCTCCATTTGATTTTCCTAATAAAAAGGAGAATAGTGAGCTCCCTTCCAAGGTTAGGATTCATTAACAAATAAAAAATTTCCTTATGAGTATACACGCACATCCAGAATATTATACTTTACATAACAAGTAATATCTAGCTCATATTCTGGAAGTTTCTCTCAAACCTGTCTGAAAACCTGAGTAAAGAGTTTTGGTCCAGGAGTTATTGTATAAAACTGAAAAACAAAAACTCTTTTGGGCAGTGAAATAAGAAGATAAAAAAGAGTTTGCCATAAATTATACAGAGAGTGTCAAGAGTATATATACATATTTTAAGAAATTTATTAAATTTGGGGTGGTGCCTGTGGCTCAAAGGAGTAGGGCACTGGCCCCATATGCTGGAGGTGGCAGGTTCAAACCCAGCCCCAGCCAAAAAACCTGCAAAAAAGAAAGAAAGAAAGAAGGAAATTTGTTAAATTTGTGATACTGAAGTCACATTTGACTTCTGCAATTACAAGAAGTTCCGAAAGTGACTTATAATCACCTTTTATACATATCCCAACTTAAATTAATTTAGTTTGGAGTATTTAGTATATATTGAGTATCGCAATTTGGGTAGAGATTTTTCCTGTCTTAAAATGTACAGATGTTTTTGGCACCCTCAGTATATAGCACTATAATCACTATATATTATATATAAACCTATATATTATATATATACACACATATATAAACCTATATATAAATAAAATGAGCACTTCTCCCTTCTTTACAAAAATGGAGGAAATTTAGTGACGCTTACAGGTATGCCGTCCAACCCTGGGAATCCAGGAACACCAGTCGGACCCTAAAATCCCAGAAAATAAAATGAAAATGTTCAAATTACTGAATTATTTGATCAACTGGTTCATTTGAAAACTTTAATAATCAGACTCATATTTAAACATGCTTAGCAGTCATTATCACACTGATGATCACATCTTCACATTGATGAGTTTAAAAGTCAGCACTGAATAATCAACTTTTCCTCCTTCTATATATTTTTTATACCTAGAAGGACAGTTTGGCAGTGCTGACTTAAATAAAACATACAGCATGCTATAAGCCAGAAATTCAACTTCTCAGAATCTATCCTAGAGTAACTAACTCTTAAGTGTGAATGACAGGTACTTTATAATTTTTTTTAGCATACTTAAACTATATAAAGTTGGGGTAGAATCACAAATACTCATCAACAGAGAATAAACTATATTTTTATCCACACTAGGGCATAGGACAGATATGTAACATTTTGAAGGGAATAAGTTCAATCTATATAAGTGGATAAGGAATGATTTCCAAACTCTGTTGAATGAAGAAAGGTTCAGCCTGATACAGACACATAATAAAGTATCATACAGGTTTGTTTAAAAACCACGAAACGACACATTCCCTCCCAGGATACACACATGTACTGAGGTGTGTGCAAAGGTCTGGAAGAGCCTGCTTGCGCCTCTGGAAATGGGCTGGGAAGGAGAACAGAGTATTGCAGAGGCGTTTAGATTTTATGTTAAGGTACAAGTAAGTACTACTTGTGATTATAAACTCCAGTGCAGTAGTTCTGGTGATGGCTAATGTGGATCATTTTTTTTTTCAGAGTAACAAAGAGATTTTAATTAGGAAGAACAAAGAGAAAGCTGAGAGCACTTCTGAAGGGAGCTGGAAGGAGCTGGAAGTGGGTCCCTCTCGTGAAGAAGCAAAGGTGAGAGAGCCGAGCTAGTGGGAATTTTCACTCACCTTATCACCTTTGTCCCCAGCTGCTCCAGGAGGACCGCTGTCCCCTTTCATTCCTTTCTCTCCTGGAATCCCAATTGGTCCTGGGGGTCCCAGAGGTCCAATTGGACCCTGAGGCCCTGGTGGTCCTGGCTGACCCTGAGAAGGGCGGGGCGGGATGTTAACCAGTGTCTTTAACACAAATATATGGTCAGTTGGGTCTCCAAAAGGCTGGAAAATTAGATTTGCGCAAACTCTAATAATAGAAACAAATGATTATTTAACATAAAAATAAGAAACAGTAACATTGCCCTTTTTGATCTGAATTTAAGCCATGTGATAAATTTTACTTACCGCATGTGTGTGCACATGTGTGTAGTGTGTGTGTGCGTGTGTGTGTGTACACAGAAACATACATCAACCAATTAGAGTAATCTTACTATTTATTGTGTCTGAGACATTTGTAGATCTTGGGCTGTTTACCGAAGCAAGGAACTATTAGTAAAAAAATAAAATTCTTATCACTATCACAAGCGCATAAAACTTAATATTCGTTGCAAAATTCTAAATTACAACCTAAAAGTAAAACTAAATCAAGACTTCAAATGACCTTTTTAAAAAAAAATGTTAATTAATCTTATTTCTAAGTAAGTAGTAATGGATAAGGAATGATTTCCAAACACATTGTTGAATAAAGAAGAAAATCCATCTAAGTAAGTATTTCTTACTTAGAAATAAGATGAATTAACACCAGCTTAAAAGCTCCCATTTTTTTTTTAAATACAAGCTTCAGGAAATAACTGCTTCTTCACTGAGTTTGGGTATTATCTTTTCATCTCTCGTGTAACCTACACATAAACTCCCCTAATTATCATTTGTGAATCCCCTATGTTCCAATAATGTATTATTCAGGTACAAAACAAAATGCATGCTCAAACATAAAAGAGTAACTGAGTAATTAATTGGCTGTAAATCTCTTTAATGTGATTCATCTTAGACGTGCAATCCTGAGCCCAGTGAGCTAATAGGAAGTTTACAGGGGGGAAAAAATATTCAGTGCGAATGTTTAGAACAATGGTAAGAATAAAACTCCATTTAGTATAGAAATGTGCCCTGATTCGAAAAAATGATATATAAAATACTTTCCCAAAAAAGCAGAGCAGAGAATGGTTATTCGCGTTGTTGAAGAATGCCGATCGCTCCGTTTTATCCCATCTCCTCCCCCCCACCCCCAGCTGCGCCACCCCATTGCACTGACTTCCTTGTGCCTGATTTCTGAATAAGCTCTGCTTTTCACCAGCTTCTACACACGCTGCCCTGTCCCAGGAGGGCACCTCTCCCTGCCCTTGGATGACTTGTCTCATAAGGCTCCTATGGAAAGACCACCTGCTCCCCCCCACACATCCCCTACTCCTGCCTGGGAGAATGAGATCCCTCTCCAAGATGACTCCAGACCAGAGTCACACCGTCACCTGTTCCCGTGACCTTTTATCTGTATGCTCCCCCAACCCCACACCCACCAGACCATGAGGGAAGAATCTAGGTGGCCAAGGTCGCGATGGTTGAGAAAGGCAGAAGACGGCGGCACCTGTAGCACTGTGGTTAAGGTGCCGGCCACATGCACCAAGGGTGGAGGGTTCGAACCCGAGCCAGCTAATCAGCAATGACAACTTCAACCACAACGACAAAAAAGAAAGGCAGAAAAAAACAAATGCTTAATAAAATGAAGTCAGCTCTCCACTACCCCAAGGAAAGACAGTTGGCCCTTCATATCCCTGGGCTCAGCATTTGGTGATTCAACCAATTCACATCGAAAATATGAAAAAATAAAAAAGAGAATAACAATACAATTTTCATTTCTGTTTGTGTTTTTCAACACAAAATACAGTATAACAACTACATGCATAGCACTTATATTGCATTAGGCATTGTAAAAAAATTAGAGACAATTTCAAGTGGAGGGTGTGCATGGGTTACATGACCCACCACACTATTTATACCCACAGATTTTCCTATCTGCAGGTGTCCCTCCTCCCCTCCCCCAACCAAATCCCCAGGGAAACCACAGACACTGAGAAAGGAGTGTAAGTAAACATGCCTCTGAACAGTAAACATCATCCCCAGAACTCTGGCTTAGGGTAATTTTGGAAAACAGTGACAACTGCACCTCAAAGCCCGCAGAGCATCACCCCACACTGTGAGCAGTGACCCTAAGCACCACTCTACACTGTGAGCCATGACCCTAAGCACCACCCCACTCTGTGAGCGGTGACCCTGAGCACCAGCCCACACTGTGAGTGATGACCCTGAGCACCGCCCCACACTGTGAGCCGTGACCCTGAGCACCACCCCACTCTGTGAGTGATGACCCTGAGCACCGCCCCACACTGTGAGCCGTGACCCTGAGCACCAGCCCACACTGTGAGTGATGACCCTTAGCACAGCCCCACTCTGTGAGCCGTGACCCTGAGCACCGCCCCACTCTGTGAGCCGTGACCCTGAGCACCGCCCCACTCTGTGAGCCGTGACCCTGAGCACAGCCCCACTCTGTGAGCCGTGACCCTGAGCACCACCCCACTCTGTGAACCCTGACCCTGAGCACCACCCCACTCTGTGAGCCCTGACCCTGAGCACCACCCCACTCTGTGAGTGATGACCCTGACTGGGGCAATGGCCATGTCTTTTCCTTGTGTGGATATAACACAGGCATTGTTGTGCTTTTATTCCAAACCACTTGAAATAGCAAATTGAAAAACCAACATAAAATTCTACTTGCCTCTTTTCTTATAGCCATAAAGGCTTTGTGGTTTTATATTTGCTGCTGTTTTTTCATATTAGTAGGTATTTAGTTTCATCATAAAAATTTTAAGGAAATAACATTAAACCTTGGATAATACTATAAAATCTGTAAGGAAGCTGAGAGTTTCCTAAACGCCAATGTTTGGAATAGTGATTTTATTCACGCAGTTTGAGTTAATAATTTATTCACAGCAATGTAGAGAATATTTCTATTTTCATTAAATTATTTCATATAAAAGGAGGCAGTAAAAACGTCTATGCCTACAAGTAAATATTTCAGCTTCCATGTTTATGGGGCTATAAGAGAATTAACTTCAGGATGAATGAACACAAATAGTAGCCCCATAAAAGACATTTTTATAACTAGAGAATTATTAAATATCACAGGAAGTTGGCATCATTTAAGAAAATCTTTTAAATTCATCCTTGTATTCTCCACCCATCAAAAATAACATGGTATAAAATCCACCAGATTCAGTTTAGCAAAAAGAAGAACTGTCTAATGGAAGGACTGACTTTCTGAGGCAGCAGCCCTGATTCCTTTTGGCTACTGTGTGCACGCAATTGCCTCTGTGGTTTCTGATTTTCAGGTTTGAGACGCAGAAGTGAGAACACAGACCCACTGAATCCAGAAATGACAATCAGCTTGACAGCTGAGGGAGCTTTGGCGCTCCGTGAGAAGCCACTAGATCATCTCTTTCTTTCTCCTCAAAGACCAAACTGACACCGCGTCATCAGACCTGTTATTTGCGCCTCCCTGCAGCAGCTGTGCAAATACAAGCAGAAGGAGATGAGAGTGGACTCGGGGCTGCGTGCCGCCTGTGCTCCGAGGCCGGGCATTCCTTTAGGATTTTGTCCCTCACTGATTGTCTAAGTCAGAAGCATCTCTTCAGTAGGGCTAAGATCAAGTTACTTTTATTTCACAGCAACTTTGTAAAAGAGACTGGAAGATAAAAGGATATGTATTGAAGATTTTAAAACCAAAATCTCCAAATCAGACTTACTAGCTACCACTGATCCGCTCGCCCCCCCTCTCCGAGGCCAAACCCTGTGGGGAATGCCAAAAATCCAAGAAATCCTTGGTCATATTAGCAGTACAGGGATTAGAAGAAATAACTGCAAATAGACAATTATAAATACACATGCACGCACAACCACACGTCTTATGCAACAACTTCAAGCTCTTTCCCAGTTATATCAACCTAAAGGAAGAGTAAATAAGTGAATAAATTAATGATCAGTAAACCGCCCAAGAAAGAGGCTCTCATTATACTAACCAGACAGAATTTTCCAAATCACCCCTGGACTCTAAGACCATGACACTGGCTATCAAAGTTGTCAAGATGGGGAAAGAATTTATGTGTCAAGCTTGGTTAGGTGCCCGCCATAGTCCAGATTTTGCATTTAATGCAACAGAGGCACTGAAAGGTGGATTACTATCCCCAGATAGATAAAGAAAGCTTACTCACAAGGCATAACTTATTCAAACTCACACCTAGTAAGCTCGAATTCACATCTGAGAGCTTAGTCAGTCTCTCTCCAAAACCTCCCCTCATCCCATCTCAGCCACACACAACGGAGGGTCCCTGCACTGACCAGAGTCATGCCACGGGAGTGACATCTCATTCCCTCCAAGTTCCATCTTATTTTTGCACATAAAAAAATGTATCTGCATGTACTCTATATTCTTTTATAAAGTTTCTTTAGAAAACACTGTTGATAAATTAATCAAACATCTCTTTTTCTGTGGTTATCAAATCTAATCTTCTAGTCCATCCTACATCTCTAGCTAGCTGTTTTCAAGAAGCTGCCCTGGGTCTTCTTCCCCTGTTCATTCCTCGTGTCAAAGCTGAGCTCATCCCTCCCACCTCCTCTTTCCCTGTCTCTGCACACGGTGACTCTGTTCTTTCCATCATTGATTCTCACCACTCCGCTGTTGGCTTCAGCTCACCCTCTCCCCCTTGTTCTCCATGCCCTTCCTGTGACCAACTCTATCACATGTTGCTGTGAACCAAATCACACCTGCCACTGCTGAGCCCCTGGGTCCCCTCTCTCACATGGGTTTCCTAAGCACCAGCTTCCCTCACTTCCTTAACCACAGCCTTCCCCAGACTCTCCACTACCACTGTCTACTGTCTCCAATCTCCCTGTCCTTGCATCATCAAACCTCCAATGGGTACAATCTTCCATCCACGACCCCAGCCAACACTATCCTCTGCAGTTTCCACGCCCACCCTTGTCTCCCTGGGGTGAGAGGAGTTTCCTCAACTGCAGCTCAAATTCTACCGTCCTCCCCCCAGCACGGGATAGTAATCACAGTAATGATAGTAACTGCTCCCATGCCCTGGGCGCTGTGTTCC